GCTGAAGGGAGTCTATATAGGCGAGCCAACTTGATGGGAGGGTCTATAGGCGGCCCGAAAGGGTTCTCTGCAGATGACCAGAAAACCTCAATTATCTTCAATACGAAAAAGTGAACGACCCATTCTATTATCCGCATATAAGAACTCAATTGTCATTTCCTCTCAATCTCACAGTGAAGTACATAAAAATAGGGGTCACACTTCATTTTCCTAGGGTTAGTCATTCAAGTGCCATTGTAATTGAATCACTGCAAACCGTTTTCGAATCAATGACCAATTTCGTATCGAAAACAAGCGGATAATAATGATTGTTGATAAACAAGGCGAAGATAAAAGAAATACTTATATAAAGAAATAACTAAATAAACTCATTTAACCTTGCACCTTCCTTAAATGGGATGTAGGTTTGAGTGCCCCCGAAACCCCTGTTGCTGCTACTGAAACAATTAAAATGGTAAACATAGCGAAACATTCGCAATTCGACATTGTAGTCCTAATCAAATAATAAAAGAAGAATAAACTAGAACATAAACAAGAACGAAATACAATGAAACAATGGCAGATCAATGTGAAGCTGATCATTAGTGCCAGTTTCAGAGGAGCAACCAAGGGGATTGGGGTGATAAAATGTATAAAGAATTTGGAAGACAATCCTATGGGAGGCTCTATTGAGCCCAAAGGAAGTCCCAATAGAGAAGCCGAAATGTGAGCCGAAGATGAGCGACGAGGGGAAGAGAGTCTCTATAGACGAGCTGAGAAGGCAGTCTCTATAGACGATCTAGGATGGGAATCTCTATAGACGAGCTGGGATGGCAGTTTCAAACAGACGAGCTTAGAAGGAAGTCTTTATGGACGAGCTGGCAAGGGAGTCTCTATAGACGAGCTTGGAAGATAGTCTATATGAATGAGCTGGGAAGGGAATCTCTATAGACGAGCTGGGAGAGAAGGGATTATTTATAGACGAGCTGGGTAGGAAGGGAGTCTCTATAGACGAGCTATGAAGGTAATCTGCTTAGACGAGCTAAGATGGGAATCTCAACAGACGAGCTTGGAAGGGAGTCTCTATGGACGTGCTGGGAAAGGAGTCTCTATAGACGAACTGGGAGAGAAGGGAGCCTTTATACACGATATGGGTGGGAAGAGAGTCTTTATACACGAACTGGAAGGAAAAGGAGTCCTTATAGACGAGCTGGGAGAGATTGGAGTCTCTTTAGACGAGCTGGGAGGGAAGGGATTATTTATAGACTAACCGGAAGTCGTCTTTATAGACGAACCGGAGGTCGTCTTTATAGAAGAACGGGAGGTCGTCTTTATAGAAGAACGGGAGGTCGTCTTTATAGAAGAACGGGATGTCGTCTTTATAGACGAGCCGGTGGTCGTCTTTATAGAAGAACGGGAGGTCGTCTCTCATAAACGAGCAGCAGAAGGTCGTCTTTCATAGACGAGCAGGAGAGGTCGTCTCTCATAGACGAGCTGGAGAGGTCGTCTCTCATAGACGTGCTGGAGAGGTCGTCTCTCATAGACGTGCTGGGGAGGTCGTCTCTCATAGACGAGCTGGACGTCATCTCTTACAGACGAGCTGGAGGTCATCACTTACAGACGAGCTTGAGGTCTTGTTTATAGACGTGCTGGAGGTCGTCGTCTTTTACAGACGAGGTGGAGGTCGTCGTCTTTTATAGACGTGCTGGAGAGGTCGTCTCTCACAGACGAGCTTGAGGTCGTGTTTATAGACGCGCTGGAGGTCGTCGTCTTTTACAGACGAGGTGGAGGTCGTCGTCTTTTATAGACGAGCCGAAGGTCGTAGTCTCTTATAGACGAGCCGAAGGTCGTAGTCTCTTATAGACGAGCTGGAAGTCGTCGTCTTTTATAGATGAGCCGAAGGTCGTAGTCTCTTATAGACGAGCTGGTGGTCGTCGTCTCTTACAGACGAGCTGGTGGTCGTCGTCTCTTACAGACGAGCTGGTGGTAGTCGTCTCTTACAGACGAGCTGGTGGTCGTCGTCTCTTACAGACGAGCTGGTGGTCGTCGTCTCTTATTGACGAGCTGGTGGAGGTCGTCTCCTATAGACGAGCTTGTGGAGGTCGTCTCCTATAGACGAGCTGGTGGAGGTCGTCTCCTATAGACGAGCTGGTGGAGGTCGTCTCCTATAGACGAGCTGGTGGAGGTCGTCTCCTATAGACGAGCTGGTGGAGGTCGTCTCCTATAGACGAGCTGGTGGAGGTCGTCTCCTATAGACGAGCTGGTAGAGGTCGTCTCCTATAGACGAGCTGGTGGAGGTCGTCTCCTATAGACGAGCTGGTGGAGGTCGTCTCCTATAGACGAGCTGGTGGAGGTCGTCTCCTATAGACACTATACACCATTTTTCATCATCTATATTGCAACACCCTGTCTATCAGACATCTTGGAAAGGATTGTTTCTATTTATAAATAACTCGCAAAATGCTGGTGTAATTTTTGTTGTTGTACAAGAATTTTGTGAACTTCAAAATCGACCGGCTTACTAACTAACCAACCAATTCGCTCAGTCACCCACCAACCAACCAAAATAAACAACTCCACTCCACAAAAAATATAGAACATTTATTATTTTATGGCCTTTTAATGATCAAGTGTCACAATGATCTACGAGAACCCATTAATTTATCAGCAATTGAATTTTGTTGATCGATTGTTGTAATACAACAACAGCAGTGACAACAACACCAACAACAACAAATCCTAAACAATTGGCGTCCATGGTGGCCCCAAAAATCTGAGTGACTGAGTGAGTAATTGGCTATTAAAATAACAAAATAGTAACTGTAGCAACAACAACAACAACAACATGTATCGGCGACAACAGCAACAACAATAATCGATAACAACAAAATCTTGGACATGAACATGACACTTAGGATAGTTGGCAACATCAAAGCCTTTAACCAAAAACAAATATTCGCAATGACACTAACCAAACAACCAAGCGACTAACATTGGACTAACAGCGCACCAGGACTAACTACTAGGTCAGCGATCGGCTCGATCTGCAGCGCGAACAAAATTTATGCAAAATTTGCAAATAAGACGTTTGCCGCTTAGTTGCCGATAAACTTTATGCTCACCCCAATTTGCTCTTGTCTCTTCGATTGTTGGCCAGCCAATAGCCGTCTCGCAGTGTCCAGCTCGCCGCTGCCGTGCCATCAGACAGACACACAATCTGCTCTTTTTTTGCAACACTTTTTGGCCCTGAAAGCCATAAAGTCATCCATGGCACATTATGCGCCGCATCATAAATTAATCAACGGCTGCTGGTGTTGTTGAGGAGAGAGGCACTAGCCAGCCACCAGAGTGTCTCTGCAACATTTACTTTGTTGTTTTTGTTTTGCTGCACCACAACACCAACGACCGACCGATCGATCTAACCATGGATCGGATCAATGCTAGTGTTTTTTTTACACACCACCAAAAAAAGCGTAAATTTTTTATTTTCCGATTTTGGAGGCTTGTTTTCTGGTTCAAAGTCAAATGCTGTGTGGGGACTTATTTTGTTTCGGCAGCTTCGGTTTTCATTGGCAGCATCATGCAAGCAATGTGTGTGAATTGTTGATAAGATAGTGTTGTTGTTGCTATTGCAACAAAACGACACTTTATGCAAAGCAAATCTGTTGCATTAGATTCTCTTGCAATATGATAGTAGTCCATAAAAGGTAACAATTTACCATTCTTATAAATTGATTTCAAGGATTTTAATTTGGGGTGCTGAAGGATCGACGCTATTAAGAGCAGAATAAAACAAGTTAAAATGTATCAGATGTATACCCTTAGCCAATGTTCGATAATTTAAATGTCTTTTTACTTCTGTTCTAATTATTCAAATTGTTGACCCTCAATAGAGTAGGTTCGGAAAGAAGGGGCCAATAGTGTCCTACCGGACATAATTAAATATGATATAAATATTGAGACATGCCAGGTTTGGACTATATCGACTACTCCTTCACTTTATGTGTGTGATAATTTTTAGAAAATGTTAAAGTGTGCGAAAGTGTGTTAAATAGTCGAACTAAGTGTTCCATAAAATAAGATAAGATAAAGATAAGATAAAGATAAAGATAAAGATAAAGATAAAGATAAAGATAAAGATAAAGATAAAGATAAAGATAAAGATAAGATAAAGATAAAGATAAAGATAAAGATAAAGATAAAGATAAGATAAAGATAAAGATAAAGATAAAGATAAAGATAAAGATAAAGATAAGATAAAGATAAGATAAAGATAAAGATAAAGATAAGATAAGATAAAGATAAAGATAAAGATAAAGATAAAGATAAAGATAAAGATAAAGATAAAGATAAAGATAAAGATAAGATAAAGATAAAGATAAAGATAAAGATAAAGATAAAGATAAAGATAAGATAAAGATAAAGATAAAGATAAAGATAAGATAAAGATAAAGATAAAGATAAAGATAAAGATAAGATAAAGATGAAGATGAAGATGAAGATGAAGATGAAGATGAAGATGAAGATGAGATGAAGATGAAGATGAAGATGAAGATGAAGATGAAGATGAAGATGAAGATGAGATGAAGATGAAGATGAAGATGAAGATGAAGATGAAGATGAAGATGAAGATGAAGATGAAGATGAAGATGAAGATGAAGATGAAGACTGAAGATGAAGATGAAGATGAAGATGAGATGAAGATGAAGATGAAGATGAAGATGAAGATGAAGATGAAGATGAAGATGAAGATGAAGATGAAGATGAAGATGAAGATGAAGATGAAGATGAAGATGAAGATGAAGATGAAGATGAAGATGAAGATGAAGATGAAGATGAAGATGAAGATGAAGATGAAGATGAAGATGAAGATGAAGATGAAGATGAAGATGAAGATGAAGATGAAGATGAAGATGAAGATGAAGATGAAGATGAAGATGAAGATGAAGATGAAGATGAAGATGAAGATGAAGATGAAGATGAGATGAAGATGAAGATGAAGAGAAGATGAAGATGAAGATGAAGATGAAGATGAAGATGAAGATGAAGATGAAGATGAAGATGAAGATGAAGATGAAGATGACGATGAAGATGAAGATGAAGATGAAGATGAAGATGAAGATGAAGATGAAGATGAAGATGAAGATGAAGATGAAGATGAAGATGAAGATGAAGATGAAGATGAAGATGAAGATGAAGATGAAGATGAAGATGAAGATGAAGATGAAGATGAAGATGAAGATGAAGATGAAGATGGAAGATGAAGATGAAGATGAAGATGAAGATGAAGATGAAGATGAAGATGAAGATGAAGATGAAGATGAAGATGAAGATGAAGATGAAGATAAAGATAAAGATAAAGATAAAGATAAAGATAAAGATAAAGATAAAGATAAAGATAAAGATAAAGATAAAGATAAAGATAAAGATAAGATAAAGATAAAGATAAAGATAAAGATAAAGATAAAGATAAAGATAAAGATAAAGAATTTTCAGACAAATTCGTGAAAAAATGTGGCAAAAATCATCAAATTACCGAATTTCGGGAGGTACAGTTATATGGGGGCTATACCAAAACGTGGACCTATAATTACAATGACTCGCCACACGAACTAGAACCCATTATGATCTACAACTACCAATTTTCAGAGAAATTCTTGAAAAATGTGTCAAAAGTCATCACAATACCGAATGTTGGGAGGTACCATTATATGGGGACTATATCAAAAAGTGGACCTATACATGCAATGTTTCGCCACCGGTGCTGGAACCCATTATGACCAACGAATTCCAATTTATAGACAAATCCGTGAAAAAATGTGGCAAAAAAAACTTAAAATACCGAATATCGGGAGGTACCTTTATATGGGGGCTATACCAAAACGTGAACCCATACATGCAATGTTTTGCCACAAGCACAGGGACCCGTTATGACCTACAAATAAAAATTTTCAGACAAATCCGTGAAAAAAATGTGACATAAATCATCAAAATACCGAATATCGGGAGGTACCGTTATATGGGGATTGTACCAGAACGTGGACCGATACATCTCATTTTCAATACCAACCATCCTAGACACAATAAAAATTGCTCTGCTAAATTTTGGCGCTCTACGTCAAATAATGTGGGCTGTATCGTGATTTCAACAGACAGACGGAGAGACAGACAGACGGACATCGTTAAATCAACTTAGAATTTTATGCTGATTATGAATATATATACTTTATGGGGTCTACGACGAATATTTAAGGATGTTACAAACGGAATGACAAAGTTAATATACCCTTCTTTCCTAGGTGGAGGGTATAAAAATATTGGTATGGGTTTCTGGTTGAGAGAAATATTTAGATATAGCAAGTTGTGAAGAATCGCTGACTTGTTTCGCAAGTTATGACAGATAAAAGTATTGAAACTTGTGATCCTTTGTGGGTGAGGTACCAGAAGGGGTTCGCGGATATACATCATATTCACAACAAATCTTGTGTTAGCAAAAATTAGATGCTTATTTCGCTTTCTTTGAGCTTTCTATACCCTCAACCATAGTATGGAGGGTATATTAAGTTTGTTATTTCGTTTGTAACATCTCGAAATATACATTTTAGACCCCACAAAGTATATATATTCTTGATCAGCATAAAATTCTATGTCGATTTAGCAATGTCTGTCCGACTGTGGAAATCACTCTAGCTTCCGGACAAAATGAAGTAGGTTGATAAAATTTTACTCAAATATGTATTATGTCTGCAGGACTTTTGGTATTGAAAATGGGCCATGCCACGTCTTCGTATAGCTCCCGATATGCGGTATTTTGATGATTTTAGCGACATTATTTACGGGAATGGATTAAAATTTGGTATTTGAAGTTCGTAATGGATACTACATCCCAAGACAGAAAATGAACCATGTAGGTCCACGTCTTCGTATAGCCCCCATATAACAGTACCTCCCGATATTGGGTATTTTGATGATTTTAGAGACATTATTCACCAGAACTATTTCAAATTCAGTATTTGAAGTTCGTAATGAATACTACAGCCTATAACAGAAAATTGTCTGCGCGGGTCCACGTCTTCGTATAGCCCCCATATAACGGTACCTCCCGATATGCGGTATTTTGATGATTTTAGCGACATTATTTACCGGAATTGTTTCAAAATTTGTATTTAAAGTTCGTAATAGATACTACGGCTTAGGACAGAAAATGGGCCTGTAGGTCCACGTCTTCGCATAGCCCCCATATAACGGTACCTCCCGATATGCGGTATTTTGATGATTTTAACGACATTATATACCGGAATTGTTTCAAATTTCGCATTTGAAGCTCGTATTGGATACTACAGCCAATGACAGAAAAATGTATGCGCTGGTCCACGTCTTCGTATAGCCCCCATATAATGGAACCCCTGATATTCGGTATTTTGATCATTTTAGCGACATTATTTACCAGAGTTATTTCACATTTTGTATTTGAAGTTTGTAATGGATACTACAGTCTATGCCAGAAAATTGTCTGTGCAGGTCCACGATTTATAATCCCCATTGTACCATCCTATATTCGGTATTTTATGATGATTTATGATTTTTTGATGATTTTAGCTACATTATAAACAGATTTTTTTGAAGTTTCGCATTTAAATATTGTAATAGCTTGTGACAAAAGTTGCCTATGCAGGTCTACGTCGTTGTATAGACCCTAATATACGGCTACATTCAGTATTTTTAAGATTTTAACAGAATTTTTAACGGATTTTATTTTTTTAATTGCCTAATTTGGTGGAGGGGTACTCAAAGTTCGGCCTGGCCGAACTTACAGCTTTTTTACTTGTTATTTTTAAAAATCTTCAATCCTATGTGGGGGAGGTACCCGAAGGAACGGTATGATCTGTACCATCTATAACATATCTTGTGTTGATACCTTTCTCTACCTTTCGAACAAATTAAGACAGAAGGCTAACATTTTGCCCACATGTGTATTTTGCCAGTAGGCAGGTTAAGTTCGTAAATGGGTCATGTCGGTTCACGTTTCGCCCCCATATAACAGCACCTCCCTATATTCGGTTTTGTTATAATTTTAGAGACATTATACACCGTATTTGAAGTTCGTAATGGGTACTACAGCCTATGACAAAAAATTGTCTATGCAGGTCCACGTCTTCGTATAGCCCACATATAACGGTGCCTCTCTTTATTCGGTACTTAAACCTATGACACAAAATTATTTATGCAGGACGCCTTCGTATAAGGGTTTTAATTTAAGCGGCATTTTTTGGTGGAAATTTTAAGTTCCTTCCCAATGGTGGAGGGTATTTAAAGTTCGGCCCGGCGGAACTTAGCTGCTTTTTTACTTGCTTACATTTTAAGTTATCAAAAAATTGGCAGTACGACGAAAACACAAAAATATTACCAATACGGGCATTTCCACTCCCCTTAGCCATGATAGAATTAAGAAGGTAAAGTCATGGCTTGGTGTTTAAGGTGAGAAAACACAAAACGCTTTTTTGACTGGCTCAAGTCATCGGCTGGGTTCTTCGGAGCGTAGGGCCAAAATCGAGCTAAGTTAACCTAAAACTACTTAATTCCTCTACGAAGAAGCCAGCCGATGACTTAAGCCTGTCAAAAAAGTCCTTCATGTACTCTCACCTTTACGTATCTGTACCTTGTTTCCAAATAATTTTCAAAATAATTCTTCAAACAATAGACTTTTAAGACAGTTCCTGATCCAAATGGAAATAAGTTTGCACCATTATTTTTTTTAATTTACATTTATTATACAAATAATAATTTATAAATAGTTTTAATTTTCAAATTAAATATTAACGGATTTTATATTTTTTTAAATACTCTCCCAACCCATGCATTCAGATGTAAATGACACCACCATTCCACTATGCCATGTTAGCCAAAGGGGTATCAAAACACTGCAGTTATCGGTCTTCCATGGTTAGACATTTTTTTCCGCTTTGACATCGTACAAATGACAGCAAGCAGCAGTGGTGGTGGTCGTTGCAGTTTTCTCTGTTAATTTTTCGTACAAATTTTAAGTTAAATAAATAAATCGTTTTGAAAACTCAAAAAATGCCTATTGACGATGACAGTGATTTTGAAGATGGATCCGAAGTTGAGAAGCCAACAATTACTCCACTTAAGCCAACTGCGACGCAAGAAACAGACGAAGATGTAAGCGAATTGCCTAAAAGTAGGCTACGACCTTCAATTGAAAAATTCATTGGAATTTGCTTTGAATTCTAGGAACAATTCGATTTGGATGACCTACTGCCGTCCATTGGAGAATTTGGCAAATATCAAAAATTGCTGGTCTTTGGAATATGTCTTCCAGCTTGTATACCATGTGGTTTTTGTGCTTTCAATCAACTTTTTATGGCCGACACGCCCACGGATTATTGGTGTCGGGTACCAGAATTACTTAACATATCATCTGTGGAACAGAGAAAACAATTGGCATTGCCTCCAGATATGGTAAGATGATGAATGATTCATGTCCAAAATTTTTTCATCATCTGACAGTTCCCGAAATTTTGTGGAAGCCATATTGTATGTGACATTGACATTGTCAGAGTGAAAGAGTTGATGAACGGTATGAAAGAGATAGATGTAGGTGATTTGTTTACATTTCAAAACAAATGTAAATATAAACAATTGTTGTTTACATACCGGTATTTAGAAGAGTGGAGGAAAAAGGCGAGAGACAAAACGATGAGATTAATGCGAGGTGAATGCCTTGAGCACGTGTCATTTATGGGGACTGAAGGAGAGAGTGCTTAAAAGGAATGTGTGACTGGCTCAAGTCATCGACTGGCTTCTTCACAAAATAACAAAGGATCGTAGGGTTAAGAAGTATAAATTATGTACCGAAATTGAACTAAGTCAACCTAAAGCTCCATTGTTCAAAGACATAGAAGTATAAAGATGGGACAAGTCAGAGTCAAAATATTGTCACCAGGTGTAAATACCTCTGTTGTTACGATATCATAACAACATAATCACCAATGTTAAGTTGTTTTAACAGCAAATGCAATATTCAAACGTCAGTGAGATGCAATTTTTAGTTCAAATTTTTGGTTTACACAAAATTTTATTCTTAAAATTGCTCTGTAAATATAATTTTTATGCTAACATGTCACTGTTGTGAGAAGCGCCTCTATATATTTTTCACATTAACTATTTTTCCATTATGCATTTTGTCCAGTCTTTACCATTTTAGGTCTTTGCATTGTTAATTTACAAAGAAGCCAAACGATGACTTAAGCCTGTCAAAAAACGTTTTATGTATTCTCACCTTAAAACACTTAAGGTGGGCTTCTTCGTAGAGGAACAAAGGAGTTTTAGGTTGACTTAGTTCGATTTTGACCCTAGGTTCCTTTGTTCATTTCCGAAGAAGCCATGCGATGAATTAAGCCAGCCAAATAAGCGCTTTATGTATTTTCAATTTTAGTCTCTACAAGGTCAACCTAAAATCCGTTCTACGCTCTTTTACATTTTACAAAACAAAAAAAAACAGTAGATGATTTATGCCAGAAAAAAATGTTCTTATGTATCCCCACGTTTACTCCATTTTTTATAGTCCTACACCAAATAGTGCTAAGGGTATTATGTCTTTGTGCATTTGAGTCCATTTATGTATGTCAGTCCGTCCGTACGTCCTTCTGTCGATGTATTTTTGTTAACAAAATACATGCCGCATTTATTATCAGAATAATGAGAAATTTTCCAAGCAATATTTGTTCAGCCCACGGACGAACCCCATTTGGGTTGAGAGGTTCAAAATTTAGATATAGATCCCATATATATCATCAACCGACTTCGGGTTAATTGTACACCAAATGGCAGATATCGGTCCAAATGGCCTGAATTTTGCCACATCCGACCGAATTCAGTCTAGAAGTAAGTACATCAAATTTGAAGAAAATCGGTTCAGATATCGCTATAGCTTAAAACTACTTAAAAATATCTCTTTCAAATTTTATCGAGATCGGATCAGATTAAGATATAGCTCCCATGTATATATTTATCCGATATCAGGTTTACTGTCCACCAAATGGCTAATTTCAGCCCAAATGGATTGAATTTGAGCAATTCCGACTAAATTCATCCTAGAAACAAGTACATCAAATTTGCGGAAAATCGGTTCAGATATTGCTATAGCTCCCATATACAGGGTAAGATGAAAAAAACTTAATAAAAACCAACTTCAGACTGCTGTCATTTCTAAGCCACTCGTCCACAGCTGTTAAAATTATTCCAGTGACAGCTCATTGTATTGTTTACAAGCGTACAAAAGCATTTGGTGAGAATTTTCCAGAAAAAAGTTATTCGTGATGGAATTCAAGCGCGATAGTGTGATTTCTTTATATTTGGCTGGACAACCACAAGAGGCTATCGTTAGAGCACTCCAGCATTTAAATGTGACTAAATCTTTTGAGCTCGGTACCTTAATACTGGTAGCGTAGCCCGACGTCAAGGAAGTGGACGGAAGAAAACAGCAACATCTGCAGAAATTGTTCGAAAAGTTAAAAAGCGACTTGATCGAAACCCGCGTCGCAGTGGCCGAAAAATGGCTCGTGAGCTGAACATATCGCAATATTCCATTCGGCAAATATTGAAAATGAGCTCGGGGTAAGTGCAGGAACTTACATCGAAACAAAAGGAAAATAGACTCAAAAGAGCCAAAGAGTTGCTTCGCTGGGCCGAAAGTGGTGAACTGCCGAATTTGGGTTTCTCCAATGAGAAAACATTTGTTGTCCAGCAGTTCGTAAACAACAAAATGATCGTGTTTACTTGCCAAAGAGGTCAGCTGAAAATGTGCACCTTCGGTTGGCCACCAGAACTCAAGCGGCGGCCATGGTAATGGTGTGGACCGCCATAACAGCCGATGGTCGCTCTGTGCTCGTATTAATCGACCGTTGCATCAAAATAAATGCCGAATATTGTCGCGAAAATATTCTGGAGGGTGTATTAAAGCCTTGGGCACGCAAACAGACCTTGAACATTCCAACAGCAGTTGCAGTATTTTTTATCTCACCCTGTATACACCCCACAACAAAGATATTTGATACCGGGCATCAGATACTGCTCGAAAATATATCTGCCAAATTTTATCGACATCGGTTCAGATTTTTATACAGCTTCCATATACATCTTCATCCGATTTTACGGTTATTGCTCACCAAATATATCGGTAATAGATTTTTTCATATTCAACCGAATTTTACCGGACCCCGACCGACTCTTGACATTCCCTTTCGAAATGTATTTATTCATATAGAGAATTGCATTTGAAATGTGGAATAACTCGTTATTTCTCTTTTACAGGATCATCACACCGGTGAACATAGTAAATGCTACAGATATGCGGTCAATTGGTTACAACTTCTTGAAAATACCACCATTAATGACTTGAAACCGGACCCATCTTGGCCAATTGAAAAATGCCGAGAGGGTTGGGAATACGATACCACCGAAGTGTGGTCCTCGATTGTAATCGACGTATGGAAGGCTCCTTCACTAAACAATTAAATCAAACAACTTAATCTAAGGCTTCTTTTCTAACTTTCATAGCAATCATATATGTGTGTGTGTGCGTAGGTAATGCTAGTTTTCGAAAAAAATCATTTCATTCCCTAAAAATGCTGTGCCACCTTGTGGAATCTATGACGAGTTATTTTAACGTTTATTCTCTTTAGTATGATTTAGTATGTGACAAGGACATTTATCCCACAATTGGTTTGGCAGCCCTAAATGTTGGCGGCCCGATTGGCGTGTATTTGTTTGGTTTGTTAAATGATCGTGCCGGTCGGAGGACATCGTATTTCGTTTGTTTGGCCACATTACTGATCGGCAGTCTTATACATCGATAAGCAAGGATTTTTGGACATGGGCTGGAAGTCGAGTTATTGTGGGTCTAACCATACCCGCTGTATATCAAATTCCATTTATTATATGTGAGTATTCAAGAGATAATTTTAAAAATTATAGATCTAATTGATATTGAAAATTTATTTAAAAAAAGGAAATAATCAAAGGAAGATTTTTTTTCGAGAAAAAAAATTTTTTTGATTTATTACACTGTGCGACAAAATTCATTTTTTTTTTTTTTTGAATTGCTGGATAAACTCAGTAATGGTGGGAATACATCCTTTATGTATTCCCACCTTAAATAGTGAAAGTAGAGCTAACAAGTAAAGAAGCAGCTAAGTTCGGCCGGGCCGAACTTTTAATACTCCGCACCATTTCGAAGGTGCAATTCGTTCGAAAGATAGCGTGATTGCTACAGACAAACAGACGGGCATCGCTAAATCGTCTTAGAATTTTACGCTGGTCCAGAATACATATACTTTATAGGGTCTATCATGAATATTTTGAGGAGCTCCAAATGAAATGACAAAGCTAATATACTCTCCATAGAATGGTGGAACGTATAAAAAGAGAAGACACATGTATCGGCACTATTTATCAATATTGCGGCGGTGGGTCCTACGATACCCTTAGTCTTGTTAGTTAATTTTTCTGCTTTGGGGACAGCATATCCCAGATTTGGAGCGTGCCAGGATTGAAGCAAATCGCGGTCCAAAATTCTGTTCGGTTTGTCAAAACATCATACACCACAGATCTGCCTGGTTGCGATATAATGAATGCAGAGAATACGTGTAGAGAATACATGCAGAGGGTACATTTAAGGAATTGTTCCCAACTAAGCCGGTTGGGAGACTACCTCCAAAGGGATTTAATTTCATTGTGCTGCAACAATGTAGTTCCTGGCGATTCTGCCCCTTGGTCTTCAAAACGCCCGAGTCGTTGTCGGAGTGTTGAACCGACAACATCAAACCTACCCGAAACATCTTACGCCACATGTTAATGTTCCAGTTCCGGATTATGATATTTTTGGCAAATCAATTTCAACGGACTCCGAGGTAAAACTAATAGTAGAATTTATGAATCAGAGGAACATTTTAATCGAAGCGGAAAATGAATCGAAACTCAATGAAAATTGCAGCACATTACGTTGTAATGTTTACCAGAAGTGGAGGTGGAGGATTAGTATTCCGGAGCTAGTATTGAGTGATCCGTTCATGGGATGTACGGGAGTAGAAGTCAAGTGTGGAACTGCTGAGGTAAAGGTCCTTAATATATACATCCCGCCTTTTAACACCGGTGAATCGCGTTAACCACGGAAAAGCTTACTGGCCAGAAATCAGAGAATTCACCAATCTACCCTTCGGAAACTGTCCAACACTCCTGATGCTCGGGAGCAAAAATGGTTTTCCAAGACATCAACAAAGCTGCAGTCGCTCTCTATATACCTTATGGTCTATCACCATATATGAGATCAAATTTCGCAGCAGATGCAGCAGGACTAGCGAATGGGGGTGATGAGCTCGGCGAGTCAAATCTACTGATGCCAGAATCAGCGAACTGGCAGTGAAAGTCAAAAGGTTAAGAGGAAAAAGTGGCTAGACCATCTGAAGTGTTGCAACATTGGAACCGATGTGAGTAAGCTGTGGATAATCGCTATCGGCAAAATGATGATAAGTCTTCAATAACTGTTAACGAAGTAACGGTGGCTGATCCAAAATGTTCGATGTATATTTTGACCTACAAATTGTCGAGCGCCCCAAGAGTGATGATGCTAAGCCAAGAGTACTACATCGTATAAGATATGTTCCCACCACTGATGTATCACCAGAGTATACTAAGACTAAGTCATCCAAGCATTAGGCCCGGACGGAATGTCAATGGTAATATTGAAACAACTGAATACACCGGGAGTCGGGTATCTTAGTCCTTAATCAACCGCCTAGAAAACAGGCTGGGTGGTCCCTCTACTGAAGCCAAACAAGTATGAAAGCAAATGCGAATTATACAGGCCAATTTCGCTTTTGTCACCAGTGGCAAAGACTCTTGAGGTATTGCTCCTCTACAGCATCGGTGGCCAACCATCAACACGGCTGCCGTCTGCAACAGCATTGTACGCCACATCCACACATATTATTCGAAGATTTAACCAGGACAGGCCGAGCTATATATGTAGTGGTCTGTGGATAGCTATGCGGCTCCAGTGTGATCTACGAATACGAGTACAACACACTGGAAAACCAGTGAAGAAAGTCTTAAAGTCGGGCGGGGCCGACTTTATGATACCCTACACCACTTTGCTAATTTAGTAGAGCTCCACATAACAATTAAAAGTTTTTATGGGAGAATACAATCATACACCCTATGAGTATAATTATAATTTAAAGTTCAAAGGACTAAATATGCCGAAGCATTTGTCTTTAAATTCGGACTTGTATTGCCCATTTGGTGCACAATATTTTGAAATCGGATAAAGATATATATGTTAGCTATATCCAAATCTGAACCGATCTCGATAAAATTTGGCAAAGATATTTCCCGAGCTGTATTGATATATTTCCTGAATATCGTTGTTACAAAGTGCATTTTACGGTTGTGGGTAACAAATATAACAAATCGGATGAATAATATATATGGAAGCTATAGCTACATCTGAACGATCTTCACCAAATTTGACATATAGCTTCTAGACTCAATTCGGTCGTAAGTGCCAAATTCCATCCCATTTGGACAAATATTAGACGGTTTGGTGCCCAATAAAAGGTAAATCGGACGAAGTTATATATGGGAGCTATCCAAATCTGAACCGATCTCGATAAAGTTTAGCAAATGTATTTCTGAGCTGTATTTAAAATATTTCCCCAAATATGTTGTCGCAGAGTGCTATTACGGCGGCGGTGGACAAAAATAACAAATCGGATGAACAATATATATGGGAACTATAGCTATATCTGAACGATTTCGATCAAATTTGGCATACATATTTTCAGGCCTAATTGAGTGTATGTGCAAAATTCCATGCAATTCTGGCTGATCTTACACGCTTGGTGCACACTAAATGGCAAATCGGGCGAAGATATATATGGGAGCTATATCTAAATTTTGACGATTATCTCCAATTTCAATAGGGTTCGTCGTGGGCCAAACAAATGATCTGTGCAAAATTTCATCTGGATCGGGCAATAAATGCGACCTGTACATTGTTTACAAAAATACATGGACAGACGGACGGACGGACATGCATAAATCGACTCAGAATGTGATTCTATGCGGATCATCAAAAGGAACTATGAGTCTATCTCGTTTCCTTTGCCTGTTACAAACAAATGCACAAACACATAATACCCTGACCACCTTGTGGTGTAGGGTATAAATATTCAAACCCGCCAGAATGCCGCTCAGGGCGCCTCCTCATGACTCCAGTGGACAGTGTACATAAGAAAACGAAGTTTTTCTCTTACGTCAGCATAATCATATGCTCTATGAGTCACCCTATCCCTTATGGTGGACAAAATTCACCCAGGTGTGGCAGGAATGACATGCATGATCTACAGAGAGAGGTCCAACGATACAAGACTGAGTATCTATTGATTCTGATAAAGTCACCGATGTAGTTAACCATTACAGTATGAATGTCATTTTTATACCCTCCACCATAACATAGTATGGAAGGCATATTAAGTTCATCACTTCGTTTGCAACTAATAGAAATAATAATTTTAGACCTAACAAAGTCTACATATTCTTGATCAGCGTAAATTCTAATGCGATTAGCCCTGTCCGTCCGTCCGTTTATCCGTACATCTGTTGTAATCTCGCTATAGTCGAAACAAATTATGCTAGGAAGCTTAAAATTTTCACAGATCAGTCTTTTGTGTGCTTCAGGTCAAGTTCAAAGATTGACTATATCGGTCCACGATATCGTATGGCCCCCATATAAATGTACCTCCCGATATTCGGTTTTTTGATGTTTTTAGGCAGATTTTCAATGGGAATTGTCTGAAATTCTACACAAGGATTCTTTGTGGCTACTTTCATTAAAGTGGTATTTTTCTACGTTGTTTTTTTTTAATTATTCAAGATCCTTCAAAATTGTGGATGGTATTAAAAGTCGGCCCGACCGAACTTAGCTGCTTTTTACGTATGTTAGCTCTACTTTTATAATGTGCACAGTGTTAGTTGGCCAACAATTATTAAAATTACACTGAGTACAGAATTTTATAAATAACTTATTTCTCTCCTTCCTCTCTCTCTCTCTCTCTCACCATTACAGCTCTCGAGCTGGTCGGAGAAAACTATCGTTCATTTGTAACCGTTATGACGTGTACCTTTTACACCTCGGCTATTATGATATTATCCGTTGTAACATATCTAGAAAGGGATTGGGTTAAACTCTCCTACTACACCTCTGTGCCGTTCTATGCTTATTTTCTCTACCTATTCATTATGCCCGAATCACCACGTGGCTACTGATGAGAGGAAGACTTGAAGAAGCTCTAAAAATTCTAGAGAATATGGCAAGGGTAAATGGTCATGAATTTCCACCGGTTTATTAAAACCAAATTAGAAGCTCAAATTTCGCGTGACAAATTAAAAGAGAAGAAGAAGCATGTGAACGCTGGAGTTTCCGATTTATGCAGGTAAGGTAAAAAAAAGAAACAAATCATCAAAATTAATAATAATCCCGTTTACAGAACTCCCAATATGCGTTTGAAGACCCTGCTTATTACCCTTAGTTGGTTTGCCAATGAAACTGTATATTTGGGTCTAAGTTATTATGGCCCCCTCTTTGGGCAGCAATCATATGTTAGCTTCTTTTTGTCGGCAGCTGTTGAGATACCAAGCTACTTGGTATGTTGGTATCTCAGGATACATGGGGACGGCGGCTGGCCTTTGTCGTTATCCATGATTTTGGGGTAAGTATATATGAAGAGAATTGAATTAATAGGAGTCATTCATAATCTTGTCATATTTTTTTCAGTGGCGGTAGCACTGTGATCATCACTGTACTGACTTCCGCATGATGCCGTTAGATGCGCCTCTTATATTGTATCGTATATTTCCAAGGCATTGTTATCCGCTTCCCTTTTGATTATCTATCCTTTTTGCCGGGCGAACTTTATCCCACACCCAAGTTCGGGAAGGTATTGTATTGGCCGTTTCCACGTTATGTCGGTGGTCTAGGTCTTATTGTTATCACCTTTGTTACCTATATTGGTAAGTTATGATTAACTTTATTAAGATTTATCTATTTCAGATTCGAAGGATTAATTGCCCAGCTTTCCGTTTTTATACTCTACAACCCTATGTATTGGGGGTTTTATAAGTTTGGTTGAGCCACAATGTTGTAACACCTCGAAATATGTGAACCGGAGACCTTAGGATGTTTAATTATGGACCTTCCTTTCTCGCCGAGCTGTGTCAATCTAGCTATGTGTGTTGTCCGTCCGTCTCTCAATATTAATTTGTATTCAACCTACAAGTAACAGTTATGTACCAGTTACAGTGGTACATATGGTGTTTGGTTTAAAAATAAGGCTACTTAACAGACTGTAGCGGGATTCTGGAGTGAGTAGGGGGTGCATCGTATTGTGCTAGCCTGTACCACACGCCGGGCATACGTCACGCACATTATCGTACCCAGTACGAATTGAGACGACTACACCAACCTCGTTTGTCTAGGCAGCTGACGTTCTTCAGCTGCAATGGATGGGGGTGGACTCCGAATACGGCTTGATCCCGTAATTGCTGATAGCAATTGCATCTGTATGAATGCCACTCAGACCTGCCTGATAGGCTTCTTGATCTAGAGGTTCTCTCTTATAGCGTTGGACCTTCTCGTGTATGTCCTTGCTTAGACGCCTTGGTGGGGGGTTGTATCCATCACATGATGACACTCACGATAACACCCAAGCAGGTACTGCAACGAAAGCATATGATTATGCTGACGTACGGGAAGGACCTTAGTCTCCTCGTTAGATGGACCACTGGTGTCATGAGGAGGCATCCTGTCGCAGTTCTTGTTCCTACTTTTCATTTTATCGCAGATAGCTGTGGCTTACGCGGACGATGGAACATGTTGACCTCTAGAATCTTGTGACACACTTCTCTTGTTCGGGTGGGGAATCTTCGTTTACCACGCATATGTGGAGCAGTCATCTGCTCTGCCCCTGATCATTAACTAGGACGGAATACACAACTCATAGTGGGCAACCGACTTAATCCGGAACAATTTCTGAAGAGCGCACATCATCTGCATCCATAGCATCGCACCGATACAATTCTGTGTTGGATGGTGTTCTGATAAACAGAACAGAACAATCCAGGGTTTTTCTTCGATCCCAGCATGGACTAAAGAATCCGGAGAAAAATAAACAAACACGAACATGTTTGGCCGAAATTGGGTTATTGCTATATCTGGTCAATCCGGTATTGTAGTACCGTTGCCGTGGTAAAAGGAGCCTGCAGTAATCGGTTGTCGTCGCCACCCCACTTGAATGGATGGCCTTATGTTACTGTGACCTGGATAATTCCACCGCAAGTTTTTAGGTCTAATTTCGCTATGATGAAGATAAGCGACCTAGTTCTCTTTTTGGAGAGTGTCGGTCAAATTTTCTTCGAGACATTACATCCTCTTTCATTTAGCACGTTTCATTGAAATCTCCCGGAATAATGCTCGTACATCACTCAAAGCAAGTGGCTCAATGCTGTTCTAATCAAATTGTCGACCTCAATGTCAATTGATTCGGATCCACGTCTTGTCAGTTCATCTGCTAATTCATTGCCTGAGATTTAACAATGGCCTGGAACCCAACAAAGCTTAAAGGATGACTTAACATTTTCCTGAATTTCCGTAAATTTAATGGTACATGTGCTTTTAGTGCTTTCGGGGCCAGTTCAGTTCATTGATTCTATTTACTAGCAATTATATGGCCAGTTCCATCTGCTAATTCATTGCCTGAGATTTAACAATGGCCTGGAACCCAACAAAGCTTAAAGGATGACTAACTTTTCCTGAATTTCCGTAAATTTAGTAGTACATGAATTTAGTGCTTTCGGGGCAGTTCAGTTCATTGATTCTATTTACTAGCAATTCTATGGCTTTCTCATAGCAAAGATCTCTGTCTGGAATACGCTACAGTCCTTGTTTTTTGAAAGAGTATTCATGCTTCCGCAGAACACTTTCCATCTGTGGGCCATCGGTGTAGACGGCTATACCGTGAAAAGTGGAATGTTTCTGTCCAAATGTCCCTGCTAGGTATGTAGATGTCCAGTGATTCGAAGTGGAGTCTGGGTGATATATAGTCATGGTTATAAACCGACTGTTACACACTTTAAAATGTCAGAATTCCCAAAGAACTGACTGCGCCAGGTAATAGAGATCTCATGTATAGTTACTCTTATTTTAGCTTAGTCATGGTACAATGAATTCAAAGTAGAGCAGAACTACCACATGATTTTATTTTTTTTTTTTTTCCGGCCTAATATGTCAACTTCATTGTTTATGTGGTGTATTTTTTCAATAATAAAAAATTGTTCAGAAAATATTCAAATTTGGGTGTTTTCAAAATGCTTATTGCAACGTATGCATCGACAAAATCTACAGTTTTTGTGGCGAAATAAACCATAAGAGATATATAGAACATAATTTTGAAAATAAATTTGACCTTTCATTCATTTTTCGCGGTTTGAAATTATTTATTCAAATCAATGCAACAAGTTGTTTGCTTTTTATTGTTTTGATAGTAATTTGACATTACAAGCCAAACAGTAGACCTTTATACTTGCAATTTTTTCAAAGATAGCCTACCTTGTCTTCATTGTACCATGGCCTTAGTCACATTTTCCCTCGATTTGATTGAAAATGTCTATTTGGTTCTTTGGCGATGGTTAACCAACAATATAAGTATTTTATTATTTTCATTTTGTGGTGCTTTATAAACATAGTTTTATATTGGGCGCCATTTTGTCTTTGGTCGAGATATATTTATAAAGAACCAGAGATCGAGACTACAATTTAACCCTGATTTTTTAAATATTTTTTGTAAGTCATAATCTTGCTAACGAAACGATTTTTATTTCCAGGGCAAGGAGAATCTCAAACTACCATTGGTAATAATGGGTTTCATGTCAATGCTGGGCGGCATTACAGGTTTGCGTTTGCCCGAAACCCTACATCATCGTTTGCCGCAAACCATCGAGGAGGGCGAAGAATTTGGCAAGGATTGGACGATCAAAAACTGTTGCAGCTGTAAGCCAGAAATGTAAGAATATCAACTTCTTGCCATTTAACATTTCCAATTCACATTACCTCTTATTTCATTTTAGTCAAACCTTAACATCTCAGCAGGCATCCTATGAAAATCTAGATGTCTTGGCATCAAATGCTGGGTCCGATGTGAGTTGGAAATGAAAACATCCTCAGCTCGTCATCGAAACGACATTCGGTGCGTTCACGTCCCAAATCGATTATCGATGAACGTACCCCTTGGATGTTAATCGTCCCACTAGACCATCAATGCGAAGGCTGGTGCGCCGATGAGTGTTATGGATACTCAGAGGACACAAGACGGAACTATGCATTAACTCATTGGATATGAGAGGCGTTTGCGAATATAGTTCAATAATAAATATGAAATAATATCAGTATTGTATCCTTAATCCGATGTTAAATGTAAACTTATTTCTAAGTTAATAAAGCGCCTTTGAAAAGGTAGCAAATTGTTGGCCAATAAAAAATGTTAATCAATCCGATTTTTTCGTTCATTTAAGGGACATTTTTTAGATCTACAAAATGTTTAAGGGCCCAAAATATGACCTGACAACTTTTTATACCCTACACCACGATTATGCATGTAGTTCGTCCGTCCATGTATTCTTGTAAACAAAATGCAGTTCACATTTATTGTCCGATTGAGATGAAATTTTCCAAACAATATTTGTTTGCCCAAGGACAAACCCTATTGAAATTGGTGAGAATCGGTTCAAATTTAGATATAGCTCCCATATATATCTTCATCCGATTTAGGGTAAATTGTGCACTAAAACCAATATCTGTCCAAATGACCTGAATTTTGGCAGATCCGACCGAATTCAGTCTAGAAGCAAGTACATCAAATTTGGTTCAGATATAGCTATAGCTCCCATAGATTCATATATGTTCATCCGATTTAAGGTTTTAAGTCTCTCACATGCGTAATATGCATTCGACTGCATGATATTTGGTACCAGGTATCGTATAGAGCTCGGAAATACATTTGCCAAGTTTTATCGAGATCGGCTAAGATTTGGATATATAGCTCCCATATATATCTTCATCCGATTTCGAGTTAATTGTGCACCAAATGGCCAAGATCGATACAAATGACCTGAATTTTGGCAGATCCGACCGAATTCAGTCTAGAAGCAAGTACATCAAATTTGGTGAAAATCGGTTCAGATATAGCTATAGCTCCCATATATATGTTTCATCCGATTTTGGGCTTAAGGTCCCTCACATTCGTAATATGCATTTGACAGCAATGATATTTGGTAAGATATCAGATACAGTCCAGAAATACCTCTGCCAAATGTTATCAAAATCGGTTCTGATTTGGCTATAGCTCCACATATATCTTCAACCGATTTCGGTTAATTGTGCACCAAATGGCCAATATCTGTCCAAAAGTCCTGAATTTTGTACATCCGACCAATTTAGTCTAGAAGCAAGTACATCAAATTTGGTGAAAATTGGCTCAGATATAGTTATAGCTCCCATATATATGTTTATCCGATTTGGGGTTTAAGTCCCTCACATTCGTAATATGCATGGTACCAGACATCAGATACAGCCCATAAATACTTCTGCCAAATTTATTGAGATTCTTAATACGATTTCAGATTATTGTGCAAGTTATGCCTAATATCAGCCCATATGGATTGAATTCGGGACGTCCGTTTATATTTGTGGAGCTCGGCTCCGATATATATTTTTTAATATAATCCTTCTCGAAGTGATATCATGCACTCTATGGCAATGTTATTTGGTATAAAAGATAAAAATGTCTTCTTCAAATCCAGTGAAAATCGATTCAGAATGGATATGCTCCTATATATTACTTCCCTCTGAATCCAAATTAGAACTGCTCTAAAGCCAAATGTGATAGGTGATATGATCTACTTCAAATAATTTTTTGTTACGGGAGCTCTACTAAATATGCATAGTGGTTAGGGTATCATATAGTCGGCCCCGCCCGAATTGACTTTTCTATTGGTTTTATTTGGGTTAGTTTTTATTGTCCGGTATACATTCTCTGTTGATATCTCTACTTTATGCAAGCATTCTCTCAATCTTAGAATTCCTTTAGAGTCTCCGCGTCCCTCATCAACCTCACAAGCCTTTATGGGCGTAGCAGTTAATTTTAAAAATTAACAAAGATTTCGTCAAAAGGAAAAAATCAACAAATTTCTTGTAGTCTATACATTTTTGTTTTGTTTTATTTATTAAATATAGTTTAAATATTTAAACTAATTATTACGTTATATGAAATTATTATCATTACTATATTTTTTTCATTCTTTTTATTTGTTTTTGCAGTTGTTTATCTTACAAAAAGAAATGGCAATAACATTATATTATCATTGTCTTCTCTACATATTAAATACGAATTTAGAATATGGACAAAACAAATTTGATTAAAAATCAAATACAAAAAAATACTTGCGCAAGAAGTAATTGGAACCGATAAACATGAATTAATAAATTCGGAAATCACAAAGAAAAGGAATTGGAAACGAATATTTTCCCATTTTTCATGGGTAACGAAAAGATGATGATACTGATAGGCGGAAGTGTTATTTTGAAAAATTAAATTAAAATATAAAGTTTTCCATTGAAATAAGAAAAACGCATTTTGAAACTTTCAATTAAAAACATGATAATCTCCACGGAATATTTCAGATTATGGAATAATACTATTCAAAACGTTTGCATATTATTTCTAGCTCAAAAGAAATCAAAAGTTATTCCCTATGTTGCACATTTCGTATCGAATGTAAAGTAATTTTTGGAAATTTGGATGGAGAGGAGATTTTTGTTAATACACTTGCTTGCTTTTTATGGATAATTTATTGCGCGTTTCATTCAAAGATATGTGTAAATAGTGACAGCTATACACTGAATTAGAAAAACAAAAACACAAATCATCGATGGCCAAACTTTCAATAATTATGCTTCTATGGACAGCCTCAATTTCATTCAATTTACAGAGAGAGAAAAAAATAAACGAACAGAACACACACAGAGACACATATCTTTACGTTAATTCTATATTGAAATAAATCACAACTTAAATATAATTCTTTCTTATTTTTATCATATGCGTCACGAATCCCCTTCTGGCCAACGACAATGACAGACGCGACATGGGAGGAGTCACAACACAATTATAATAAAAAAAATAATAATATTATAATAGCTTAAAAGCTATTCAATCGTAAAATAAAGCCATTTTAAATGTATACTCCAGTTTAATCCACTTTTACAACACTGTAAATTTTGCGTATAAACCAGAAGCAGGCAAAGAAACCAATCGAACCGGTCAGCAAGAAAAATAGGAATACCATAATTGCCGTGTAGCCAAAGTACAGGAAAGTCGAGGGAGCATCTTTTATCGATAGTTTTGTCACAAAATAATGGCAACAATAAATGAAAAGATATACGGCCGTAAAGCCAGACGTCAAGAACGAACGCCACCACCAATGATAGTCCTCTGCACACAGATGGAAATAGCACAACAGAATTGTCGTCTCCGAACAGTGATAACCAAAATTACAAAGACCAAGAACAGGAAACCGAAATGTAGTACATTTGGTTCGACCAAATTGAGGAGAGTATGAAAAAGAGCTGGATGAAAATACAGCCAAAGGGTAAGACGCCACCCATAATAATGCCAGGAAGGGTGAGTATAAATCGATTGGGTCGGGATTTGACGCGGTATTTGATTTGTGCGTACGGGGTGTTCAAGGACTGAAAGAAAAGTAACAGGAATTATTAAAAGTAACTTGAAAATGTCTTTGAAAACTTACCTTTTACGGAAACCAAAGTAGGCACCCACAAATGTTAGAGGTACCGAAACGCCAAACCACAAAGCCAGCAGAGCAATCAGGGTGCTGAAGGGCACAGCACCGGATGATCCCTCACCCCACAAAACGAGATTCATTACAAAGAAGAGGCCAAAGACAATGCTGCAAAGATAAGACAATAAATATTAAATTTAATACAAATGGAAGCGAGATAGACCATAGTTACTTTTGAGGATCTTCATAGAATCGCTTTCTTAGTCGATTTATGTATGTCAGTCCGTCTGTCCATCCGTCCATGTTCTTGTGAACAAAATGCAGTTCGCATTTATTGTCCGATTGAGATGAAATTTCCAAACAATATTTGTTGGCCCAAGGATATACCCTATTGAAATTTAGATATAGCTCCCATATATATCTTCATCCGATTTCGGGTAAATTGTGCACTAAATAGCCAATATCGGTCCAAATGACCTGAATTTTGGCAGATCCGACCGATTCAGTCTAGAAGCAAGGACATAAAATTTGGTTGAAAATCGAATCAGATATAGCTATAACTCCCATATATGTTTCATCCGATTTTGGGTTTTAAGTCCCTAACATGCGTAATATGCTCTCCACAAGAACAATATTGCTACTGGAAATAAGAATTGCTCGAAAATACCTCTGTCAATTTTATCGAGATCGGTTCAGATTAGGATATGGGAGGATATCTTATCGATATCAGGTTTATTGTGCACCAAATGGCTAATATCAGCCCAAATGGACATGTTGGCAATTCCCGACTGTATAAATTCCAGAAACTCGGTTCAGATATAGTTTTAGCTTCCATATGTTTCTTCCGATTTGGTGTTTAGGTCCCTCACATCGTAATATGCATTGGACAACAATGATATTTGGTCCATATATCAGATACTGCCAGAAATACCTCTGCCAAATTTTTTCAAGATCGGTTCAAATTTGGATATAGCTCCATATATATCTTCAGCTGATTTCGGGTTTATTATGCACCAAATAGCCAATATAAGTCCGAATTACCTGAATTTGGTAATTACGACTCAATTTATCCTAGAAGCAAGTACATCAAATTTGGGTGAAAATCGGTTCACATATAGCAATAGCTCCCATATATATGTTTCATCCGATTTGGTGTTAAGTCTCTCGCATTCGTAATATGCATTCGACAACAATGATCTTTTTTACCAGATATCTTGTAGAGCTCGGAAATACCTCTGGCAAATTTTATCAAAATCGGTTCAGATTTGGATAAAGCACCCATATATATCTTCAGCCAATTTGGGTTTATTGTGCTAATAATGGCTAATATCAGCCCAAATGGAATGCATTTCGGACATACTTTTCCATTTTGTGGAACTCGGCGGCGATACATATGTTTAATATAATCCTTCTCGAAGTGATATCATGCACTCTATAGCAATATTATTTCGTATAAGAGATTAAAATGTCTCCGTCAAATCTGGTTAAAATCGATTCAGAATTGGATATGCTCCCATGTATAAGTTTTCTCAGAAACCAAAACTATACTGCTCTAAGGCCAAATGTTGATAGGTGGTATAATCAAATAAACTATTGTTACGGGAGCTCTACTAAATATGCATAGTTGTGTAGGTATAATATAGTCGGCCCCGTCCGACATTTGACTTTTCCTTACTGGTTTTCGATTGTAGTACAAAATTGTACATTCTTGCAGTTCTAGTTTTTTGGTGGCATAACGTCTTAGTTGGTATTTAAACATTCAAGACTTAACCACTGTCTGTCTACTCACTAGAAAATATCATTTTTTCACAGAAACAAGAAGGGAATTGAGTCTATTTGAAACAACAAAACTTATATACTTTTTATCATCCACTTACCTGGACACAGCATAGATGTCAAAAAACATTACTCTTCCATTTGATGCCGCCAAAACTTATAGATGCGGGCCGATACATAGCCAGCCGGTGTACCCAATGCCACAAACAACAACCATGGAACATGTCATCAAGGCACCACGATTAGCTGGCGAAGGAATCCCAAACAGGCAAAGGCCAATGTAATCAAAGTCATGCAAAAGACCTGAATACCCGAGCCCAAGAACACCGACAACAGCATACCTTACGTGGTGGACGGAAAACATCACCATGTACCAATTTCCAACCAAACTCCTCATGGGCATCTTCACCCTTTCATTTGATTTGTAACGGGCAATGTCTTGTGTAGGGTCGCAAATAATCATGGCCACCATACC